AATCTCCCACAGTTCCCCACAGCTGAAGTCTATTAGGGTGTGCCTCTCAAATGACTAGGGAGTAAAAAACTGGTTGATGTGACCAAAAATAGCAGCAGAAAGGCACCCCAACACCTTTATTGCAGGCAATGTTGGTAGGTTACGTGCCATGGTGTAGAGATGGTGTGTCTGTCTGTAACAATCCCCTTCTCTTTGTCCTTTCCCCAGGCCCTCCTAGGCTACGGCTGGCAGATGGAAGGTTCAACTGCTCAGGGACGGTGGAGCTGTACATGGGAGGCCAGTGGGGAACTGTCCAGTCACGTCCAGAAAACAAGAGCGAGCTGGCCAGCTGGGTTTGCCGCAACGTAGGCTGCGGTGAAGCCTTAGATGAGGCCAAGTGGCCTTCCATCACGAAAGATGAAAGACCTCATCTACCTGTCCGCTGGGAGATGATGGCATCATGCAGAGGTGACTCCCTCCCAGACTGTTTCAACAGAACCAGCATCTCCCGCAACAAAATCCCAGCCTCCGTCCTCTGCTCTGGTGAGTGAGTCCATCTTAGGACAGCCACGTCAAGTTCCTTTTCGCTTTCCTCTCTTGCCATGTTTCACCGTTACTTCTGTCCTGTGCACTCTAAAGAGGCCAGTCCACCCCCGCAGTCCTGTTACTGCATGAGGTGGGGAAAGGGGAATCACTCCACTGGCAGCCTGCTGGCCATGAACTTAAGTGTCAGATTGTGGTAGATCATTTCTAGAATAACAAGGAAATGCTTCAGAAATATTCCCCTCTTCTATCACCATGCCTAGTGCTGGCCTTTAGTGTCTAGAACTGCCAGCAGTTTTGATTCTCAGCTCTTTTTCCCCTCCATCATCCCTTTGTCTACAAATCCAAAAGTGTCAAGATTGCTGTCACTTTTACACACACCAGCATCCTCTGCACTAAGCTCAGCAATGCCAAGCATCAGTCTCAATTATTACCGAGTTTATTTCCGGTAACAACTTCTGATGCTGAGAATTTTCAGACTCTTGGGTAGAGAACAGTGCAACACAACCCTGTACTAATGCAACATTAAAGTTTCTAATGCAATACAAATGCTCTGCAGTAGGGATGTAAAATTTCAATTAATTGGCTAATTGAATAGTCAACTATTCAATTAGTTGATAAGGGCGCTTCTGCCTTTGAAGTGTAGCAAAAGCCCCAGGACTACACTTCTAAGGCAAAAGTGCTGTGGGGAGCACAGGGCCAGCAGGGGACTCAAGCAGTCCCTCGCTGGTCCCGTACTCCTCACGGTGTTTCAAAGCAGCAGCGCCACATGGAGGCCAGAGTCAGCAGGGTAGTCCCCAGCTGGCCCCAGGCTGCACATGGCATTTCAAAGCAGCAGACCCCGGGCTGCACACAGCATTTCAAAGCAGCAGCGCCGTGTGGAGCCCAGGGTCTGGCCCCAGGCGCCACATGGCACTGCCGCTTTGAAGCACCCCATCCTCTTCCCCACCCCTTGCTGCCTCTTTCTGATAGAGGCAGCGGGGGTGGGGGTGGGAAGTAACTAGTGGTCTAACCTGTTGACTATCCGATAAGCATTTGCTTGTCAGCTAGTCAACTAGTCTTTCACATCCAGTGCAATGCCATATGATACAGAGCTATTGAGACACAGTACCCTAGATACCATGCATTCCAATGCAAAGCCACATGATACAATACAGTGCAATTAATATCACATGAAGTGCAATACTGTGTTACTAATACTCTGTAGTTCTCTAGCAGCTTATAGATGAGGTTTTCCATGTGCTGTTCACACATTAATCATTAACCCTTATAATTTCACTATGAGTCATGATTATTGTTCCCATTTTATGGCAAGCAAAACTTGCCCCTGATCACACAATAAGGCAGGATTAGAACTCAAATCACCTGCCACCCTAACCTGGAATGGACAGAATTGTAGTGCAGTATTAATTCAGTGTCTATCACAGGCTGTGAAATGCTGCAGTGTAAGGGGCAGTTCTCATGGCTACATATGCCATGCAAAATATTATTAACTACCAACAATAGGTATCGAATACACTGGAGCCCCATCATTCTGCCAGCTAATAATTATTTGTGTAACAGCACCTGATGATCACACATGAGCTTAGCATCCCACTGAACTAAGCGATAAAAAGACACTATAAGAGACAGCTCTCACCCTCAGTATCTTCCACACTCATTGCACAGGACAAAAGGAGGGAAGGACACAGAAGGGGACTCTTTGTCCATAAACACCCAAAGGGTTAGTGGGAGGGATGGGAACAGAATCCATGTCTCCAGAGCAGCCTAGTCTTGTACCCATGAGGCCACATTACCTGTAGGCAGCTAGATCATTGAAACATCTGCTCACCACGGGGACTCTCACCAGTTCCTGCTTGTCTTCTGCACAGGTTCCCAGCCAAGGGTGATGCAAAGGCTTGTGGACAGCTGGAGCTCTTGCGAAGGGATCTTGGAGGTGTTCCATAATGAGAGATGGGAAGTTCTGTGCGATTCCAGTTCACTAATGAAATCCAGAGGGGTGCAGATATGCCAAGAGCTGCGGTGTGGGAACTTTTCATCAATCACCCAGATCCAGGATACTAAGGTCTCAGGCGTGTCCTGCAGCACAAATCAGCTCCAGAAGTGTCTCTCTTTCCAGAAAACACAATGCTTCAAAACCAGAGTCACATGTAAGCCAACAGGTTCTTCTGGGTTCTAGAGCACGGCTTATCCCTCACAGGATGGGACCACGTTACATCACAAACCCTTGACTAGGTCATCCATAGGGAGGGAACACAGAATCTTTGGATCGCACATGAGCTGTTACCAGTTGTGACGGCGCGTTGGGGGTCCCCCGTCTCCTGCACCCCAAAATGGCACAAACAGACTCCACCAGCCAGTGGAATTGAGGGTGGTTTATTGCTCCTCCAGGATACAGCACAGCACAGATGTAATCTGGTTACAGGAACTGGGGCTAAGAGGCCTCAGTGCTCCCCTTGAGATAGAGAAGTCCCAACCCCCCTCCCCAGCTCCTTCTCCCCTGCTTTCCAGACAGGAACCAACTCTACCTCTCCCAGCCCTGCCTCCAGCCAGGGCAGCATTCCACCTCCCTTTGTTTTTCCCCATGGGGGGTAGGCTGGTTCAACCGGTATGGTACCTTTGCATAATACGGTTTTCCCTGATGGGTCTTGCTCCAGACAGCAGAGGTCACCACAGCCCAGCAAGTACCCCCACTACGTCACACCAGTAAGCTGAAGAACTAATGCAATTAGCCTGGTGGCAGCAGCAGACTCATAAATCTCACGTGGGCCAGCCACTCAAAGAGGGCAAGACCACGTGGATAATGCACTTAGGAAATGAAGAAGAGAAATGTTCATGATCTCTGCTCAACCTTCGCAGATTGCTGGGGTTGGAAATTAGGTAGAAGGTGGTGTTGGGGGATAGAAGATGTGAGTTGAGTGAGGTTTGTGATACAGTTTGGAAGCTGAGGAAGGGCTTGGCATGGGGATAATGGGTTCTAATTGAGTCTTTGGGGTAAGGTGGAGTAGAGGGACTGGGGCTTAAGTGGACTCTGGTCTCCAGCGGGTAACAGTGGGTAACAGTCCTAAGCACTGGCATTTCTCTGGAGACAATGGGAATTAATCAGTAATTGCAACTCCTTTTCCCAGGCCACCCTCGTTCAGCTGCGGTGGGAGCAGGAACCATTGTGAGCATTTTGCTGGCTCTAATCCTCCTTGGAGTCCTCCTTGTTATCTGTGGACCTCCCGCCTACAAGAAACTACAGAAGAAATGTATGTGAAACACTCCTGCTGTAGGAGTGAAACCATAGATCCTGTCACCCTTATACTATAGCATACTTCACTCCCTCAGCCAGGCTCCAAGGAGTCTGGGGCAAGTTCTTTTCTCACTCGCACAGCTGGGAGTCACTGTGGGTAAGTCTACATTGCATTCCTTCTTCGAGAGAGGAATGCAAATGCAAACACATGAAATTGCAAATGAAGCGTGGATTTTAATTTCCCGCACTTCATTTGCATAAAGGCGGCCGGACACTTTTCCAAAATAGCATATTTTGAGAAAAAAACGGGGTTATTTTGAAAAGAAACCCTTCCTTTGAACCCTTAAACTTCATTTTCAAAGGAAAGGTTTCTTTTCTAAATAACCCCTATTTTTTCTCGAAATACACTATTTCGGAAAAGCGGCTGGCTGCCATTATGCAAATGAAACACAAGAAATTCAAATCCGCTCTTCATTTGCAATTTCATTTGTCTGCATTTGCATTCCTCTCTCAAAGGAGGAATGCAATGTAGACATACCCTGTGATTCTAGCTCCCATGTCTATTTTCCATCTTCTTCTTCCCCTCTTTTTCTCCTTGCCTCTCTCTCTCTCTTCTTCTTGCTCTGCCACTGTCTTCCCATGTTCTCTCCTTTCAGCCTCTTTCCCACTTCATCACCTCTGGCGCGGAGGCATCACACAGAGCTATACTGGCTGATGCATTGCTCTTAAACAAAAGGCATACCTGTGAAAAGGAGCTTTATATGTTGTCCCCTTTGAGGATTCAGTAGACACATGCATGTTTCTCATGCTGATCTTGTACAGTAGTCTACAGGGGGGGCTTTTTATTAGCAAAAACCTCTTCCGCAAAAAGGATCGGTAGAAAATATGCAGATGAGCATGATTTGCATATCTTCTGCTGAAAAACCCAGCAGTGTAGACATAGCTAGAGGGGTTCAGAACTGTTCTTTTCCCACTCCTTGAACGTGGGAAATGCCTCTCCTCATGATCTGAGATTGACTAGCCCACATGATGCAAGTAGAATAAGAAAGGTGATCAGAAAGCAAAAACCTCTTAAATCACCCAGTGTTGTATATTTCACACATTGCCGAGAGGTTTAAACATGGAAATGATACAAAGGAGCAGCCAGGCCCTGTTAGCCAAATGATTTGTAGCACCTCAAGTGTCAGGCCAGGAAGCAGAGGGATTATTTGATGTGGCTTAACAGGTTAGAAGACAAAAGAGAAATTAAGGCAGAACACCCAGAAAACTCTGCTTGATCAGGATGGGAAATAGTCTCAAGTGATTCCCCATTGCTGGCGCCATGTGAAGTCCAAACGGACAAAACACTAGAAAATGCATGGTAGGGACAACCTGGTCCAATGTGGCTCTCTAGCCCCTACTGTCTGTGATATATATAACATAGACGGGTCTGTGCCCATCTAACTTCATCCTCTCCCTCTCCGTGCAGACACCAAGAAGAAGCAGCGCCAGTGGATAGGCCCAACTGGATTACAACAAAACGGTAAGGAGACAGAGGCAGGTCTCCGTAGGTCACCCTGAACACTCTCATCTCTACAGCTTCCTCTGCAGCATCTGATGTGCTGCTGCGGTCAGTTTGATCTCAGGTACAACAGCCCCCTGGGCTCCGCAGCTCAGCAACAGGATGGCTATTGTTGAGCCTGAGGGTTAAGTGGTTTACAGCCAATAACCACCCCAGGCACTGAGGTTTCCTCTGGTCCCACCATTTCACCACCTTCATTCAGGCTGTCTGAATGATGCAGGGCCAGAAAGCAGCTTAGGTACAAGATGTGTCTGAAGCAGAGAATAAAGCCGAGGCCACAGGAGAACCAGGGCTCTGGGACAAAAGTTCTTATCCCTTGAAATGTTACCAGTATCCCAAAACTCTGAACAGGCAAAAATCGTACACTCCGCTTTGAAATACACCCATCTCTGGGGTGGAACACAGCAGTATTTAAGATTTAAGGGGGTGCAGTGAACTTCTCCCATTGCAACAACAGAGAGTTTTAAGATGTGAGAAAGTCATTACCCAGCTTAAATGACATGCAAATGTAATGATTACAGCTGGTCAGAACTGGGACTTTATACCTCAACTAAAAAGCAGCACCTCTACCAACACAACATCCCCTATCATCAGAATGATGGCCTGGTTTCATTCTTGCTCAGAAGGAAAAACGCCCCCTACTGCTCACTTCCTGCAGAACTGTAATTCTTAGCATCATGACTCACTACTATCACTGCACAGTGCAGCATCCCATGCTGACTCAATGTTTCATTAGTGACTCAGATGGGAAAGTAGAGTCACAAACACGGCTTCTAGTGGCACAGTGCCCTCTTCCACCATGTTCCAGCACGGGTACCGTTCTTACTCAGCCCCTCTGAGTCACAAACACTTGGCCTGTTTGGGTTTAGATGGTGCGACCGGTGGTTGGCGTATGAGGGTGAGGAGTTTCAACCATGGCTTTCCGGGGAAATGTTGAAGAAAGACTGACTATTTTGGTTGAACAATAAGATAATTCTGCAGCTCAAAAGGAGAGGGAGTAAAGATGGTCTAGAGGGGTGACTGGTGTCTGTGGGTGGAGAAGGTGCAGAGAGGACCACCCAGAGAGGAAGCAAGGGGGATACAATTTTGGCAGGGAAATAGAGGGGTGCACCTGCCAAGTGTAACCTTGAGTCACCCATGTGCTCTAGGTACATTTAATCATGCCTTTGCATGGGGGCCTGGAATAGAGTCTTACAGTGCTATGACTCTACCTTAAAGATGCAGTGACTAACAATTCTCCATTCTGCTATCATCTAGTCTCGTTCCATCGCAACAGCACTGTCACTCTCAGGCCCCGTCAGGAAGTTCAAGGTGCACAGGGCCAAGACAATGACTATTCTCAGACCCCTAAGAAGAACTCTTACCTTTCAGCTTATCCAGGTAAGAGCACAGTGTATAGTGATTGGGTATGGTGCAAACAAAGGAGTAGGCAGGCAAAAACCCTGAGGAGCAGGGAAGGGAGACAGTCAGGCCTGCCTTGCAGAGATGGACTAGAGTGTTACCATAGAAGAGAGTGGGCATCACTATTTAGAAGTTTTTCTTCCAGCTCTTCTGTAGCTTCAGGAAGATCGGTTAGCCATGCTGTGCCTCAGTTTCCCCATCTGTAAATGAGGGGGGAATAACCATTTTTGTGATAGTTGGCTGAAAAGGGCATTTATATGAAGGCAAAAGGTAGTTATTACCTCTTATTATTTTTGCCTTAGATGTACTGGGGACGACTAGGGGGTCATAGTGGAACACAAGTTAAACACGAGTCAACAGTGTAATCCTGTTGCCAAAAAAGCAAACATGATTCTGGGTTGCATCAACAGGAGTGTGGTGAGCAAGACAAGAAGACATTCTTATTCTCTATTCTGCACTGATTAGGCCTCAATTAGAGTATTGCCCAGTTCTGGGCATCACATTTCAAGAAAGATGTGGAAAAATTGGAGGTCTAGAGAAAAGCCACAAAAATGATTAAAGGTCTAGAAAACATGAGCTATGAGAGAAGACTGAAAGAATTGCACTGTTTAGTTTAGAAAAGTGGACATGATAGCGGTTTTCAAGTATCTAAGCATGTTACAAAGAGGAGGGTGAAAAATTGTTCTCCTTAGCCTCTGAGGCTAGGACAAGAAGCAATGGGCTTAAATTGCAGCAAGAGAGGTTTCGGTTGGACATTAGGAGAAACTTTCTGCCTGTCAGGGTGGTTAAATTTCCTAGGGAGATTGTAGAATCTTCATCACTGGAGTTATTTAAGAGCAGGTTGGACAGACATCTCTCAGGGATGATCTAGACAGTACTTAGTCCTGCCGCGAGGGCAGGGGACTGGATTCAATGACTTCTCAAGGTCCCTTCCAGGTCTGGTATTCTATGATTTTAACTCCTCACCCCTGGTACTCCTCACAGAGGTCATTAGCACCTTGCTCTCTGGAACTGTAGTGAAGAGAGTGATTTCTTCCTTTTACAGCTCTGGAAGGGGCAATCAGGTCTTCCAACCCTCCAGACAACTCCTCTGACAGTGACTATGACCTACATTCTGCTCGGCGACTTTAGCCTCTTTACCCCAGGTAAGACACTCCCTAACCTTGGTGCACTGTCACCAGGTTGAACCATTCCATAATCATGTCATCACCAAACCCAAAAAGGGGAGAAGAGACACAGGAGAGCTGAATCAGACAATCACTGTGTTTGCACTTCTCAGGCTATGTCTACACTGCACTGTTCTTCCGGGAAAAGCTACGCAAATTGCAAACCGCAAATTGTGTAGCTTTTTCAGCTTCTTTTTTCGAAAGAGGCTTTTCTGACATTTAGCCCATCCAAGCTGGGTCAAATGTCGGAAAAAAAGCCTTTTTTGGAACATTCCTTTCTTTCTCACAAAACAAGGTTTACAGGGATGCTGAAAAAGCGAATCTGCTCTTCTGAAAAAAATTTCAGAAGAGCAGATGCGTTCCCTGGACAGATACCTGCAGTATCCCAGAAAAACTCTGCAGTGTAAACATAGCCTCAGAGTCTGGCAAGATGTTATATTATTTTCTACATGGTTTGTTTTCTTGCCCTGCAGACAGAAATGGGAATCTTGGTGAATGGAAAAACTGACAGAAGAAAAAAATACCTGAGACAACTCTGAACTGGAATCATTTACATGTTATTACATACTGACATAAAGGCTTTTCCCACACTGCCAAAGACATAAGATGGGAGAGGGGTCAGTGCAGCCCCAAATTACACACCCTTTCCATGCATAGGGCAAAAAGAATCAGGAAGTCTGTCTTCTTTTCCCCCCAGTGACCTCTGGCAAGTCACTTGGGCCCAACAGTTAAAAGCACCCCTAATTGGACAGCTTTGATGCACAGCTACACATCCTCAGGCCGAATTTTCAGCAGTATTAAGCAGTCATAGCTCCAGTTCAAGTCAGCTGGAAGTCTGCAGATGCTCTGCACTTCTGAAAATCAAGCCTATATATTTCATGCTGGGCATCTGAAACAAGTCACCCAAGATCAGTGGATTTTATTTTCACATGTTGATCATTAATCTCCCGTATTCTATTCTGGTTCTTGTATTATGCCTGTCATTGTGGTATCTGAGCATCTTCCTGTGATAAATTCATCTAGTATTTGCCACTTATACTTCTTTTTCACCCTGGGAAAGAGATAGTGTATGTGTGTTAAGTTGATATGGTGTTGTTTGTTAAGGGCAGCCAGGTGGAAGAACGTGGTTTACATTTGGCTGCAAAGTAGTGATGTTTCTAAACTTAATGTATGTCTACATAACAAGATGTAGTATAGCTACTTCTGACTTTTTCCGTTGATGAGGTTAATTCACCTCTCCGAGAATAGCTAGATCAACAGAAAGATTCTTCCATTGACATAATTGTATCTACAGTGGGGATTAGGTCAACCTAACTATGGCGTTTGTTGCATTTTCTTTCACAGCCCTGAGCAATGTAGCTAGGCTGATCTAATTTTTAAGTGTATACCAGGCCTTAGACCCCGGAGGAGCAGATTGCAGAGTCTCCATGCCTGCTCTTACACTCTAAATAATCCAATACTTCATTATGGCTATGTCTACACTCTCAGCTTCTTGCACAAGTACAGTCGTTCTTGCGCAAGAATCTGCAGAGCGTCCACACTGCCCGCCCGCTCTTGCGCAAGGAAATTTACAGTACGGCGTGGTAAGAGAGGGCTTCTTGCGCAAGAGCTACGCTCTTTTTTTATCAGGTGTAAACCCTCTTCCGCAGGAGCTCTTGCGCAAGAGGGCAGTGTGGACGCTCAGCAGGGATTTCTTGCGCAAGAAAGCCCTATGGCTAAAATGGCCATCAGAGCTTTCTTGCGCAAGAGAGCATCCACACTGCCATGTGAGCTTTTGCGCAAAGGTACAGCTCACACATGACAGTGTGGACATTTTCTTGCGCAAGATTTCTTGTACAAGAAGCTGCCAGTGTAGACATAGCCTATCTTCTAAAGATATTATGAAGCTAACTTCATTAATGTCTATGAGATGCTCAGATACCAAGGTAATAAGCACCATGGAAATTATGGATAAACTGTCTTCTTTCATCACTTAGGCAGCTGTGGATGATGTGTGTTTGGCTTAACAGATGGCTGGATGTTGGAAGTACCTCAGGAGCACAATATCCTTGGGTAATGTGTACATGAGTGGGACTGGTGTGTATGTATGTGTGCGTGGCTAGATGCGTGAAGAGAAGATATATGTAAGCTTGAGGCAAGGTGGATATGTGAGTGGGAAATAATGTTTAACACAAGAATGACTGAGATATTTAATAAGCAATAACAGTTGCAATAAAACTTTTTTTCTAGTAATTATGCTTCCTTTTTCAATACAACAGAAAAAGTTCATTGCACAGGAGCAATACTGTTCGGGGGAGGAGGCAGAGTGGTTAAGGCACATCAGGAGATGTGTCTTCAAGTCATGGTTCTACCACAAACTCTCTGGGTGACCGTGGGCAAGCCACTTAATCTCTCTGGGCCTCAGTTCCCCATCTGTAAAATGGGGATAATAATACTTCTGTGTCAAGCATAAACCAAGGGTGGGGAACCTGAGGCCCGGGGCTGGATGTGCTCCCTGGCTTGCCTGGATCTGGCCCCCAAGACTTGGGGTTTCCCCACCAGCCTTGGGGAACCCGCACTGGTGCTCCAGCATGCAAGGCTGGAGCACATAAAATCTACTAGCCTGGACCCCCAAGGGTCTGGTGTGTGAGGGAAATGTGGGGAATGTCTATCTTTCTCCTTCTCAGTCAGGGCCCATGTCAGAGAGAGGTTTCAGTTTTGAGAAGTTTTTTGCTTCTCACTTGTTTGTGGCCCCTGACTAATTTTTCTGTGGGTCAGCAGCCCCCATCCCAAAAAAGGTTCCCCACGCCTGACACAAACCCTTCAGAGCAGGGACTGGCTCTTGGTGGATCTCTGGGGCTTAGCACAATTCAGGCATTATTATAAAACAAATTAATAATAATAAGCTTATCAGAAAGACTGAAATTCTGTAGTGACTTGGCAAAAATGGCATCGTCAAGCTCCATGCTTATTTCTCACAGTGAATTTCATATCAATTCTCTCAAATAACATAAGAAAAAATGTTTCTACTATGTGCCACAAACTCAACCTAAGATCTGACAGTTAGGATGTTAGCAGCTTGCAGAACTTGGACAATAAAGATTCAGCACCTGGAACTCAGATGGTAAATGTGCTGATGATTCCAGATCCAAGTTAGAATTCAAGTAACTCTTCCATAGCTACATTGGGGGGGGGAGGGGGGGGCAAGGAGTCAAAAATACTAAAGCTGTATTTGTCACTGAAGTCAACAGATACATCTCGAACTACACACAAAGCACAGGCCTGTAGAGCAAGGTAATATTTTTATCTAATCACTTATCACAGCAAATGATGTTTTAATATATTTAATCTAAAAGACACAGTCTCATCCAGATACCATTTTACAATGAATGGAATATAAACTCCTAGGCTACATCTAGACTGGCATGATTTTGCGGAAATACTTTTAACGGAAAAGTTTTTGCGCAAAAGCATCCATGGCCAGTCTAGATGCAATTTTGCGCAAGAAAGCCCCAATTGCCATTTTAGCCATCGGGGCTTTTTTGTGCAAAAAAATTCTTCCCTGTCTACACTGGCCCTCTTGAGCAAGTATTCTTGTGCAAGAGGGCTTTTTCCCAACTGGGAGCGTGAAAGTATTTGCGCAAGAAGCACTGATTTTTGTACATTACAAAGTCAGTGCTCTTGCGCAAATTCAAGCGGCCAGTGTAGACAGCTGGCAAGTTTTTGCGCAAAAGCAGGTGCTTTTGCGCAAAATCTTGCCAGTCTAGACACACCCCTAGAAGTTTTATTAAGAGCCTTTTCTTAATCTATTGCTGAAATACACTTCACAGCATCACACACCCTTGGTGCTACCAAAAATATGGTGACACCGTGCAGAAAATTTACCAAACTAATTCTTTTTAGAGCAGTTTCTGCTTCTGTCTTTCCCTTTCTTTAGGACTAAAAATCATCTGTGCGAAATCAGATGATCGCATCTGACTCTGAGTTAATCCAACCATTCTTCCATTTTAACTATCTTGGAATACCACTATCTCTTCACCAGATAATTATGTCACACACAAGCTTATGATGTCACTTGTCAAATTAACAGCAAAACCCCGCAACTCTTCTTACACAGACAAAATGAAGAAATTCACACTTGATATCTGCAAAGAGACTGTTTAAAACATATGAGTTTGTGCTGTTGTTGCTGTTTCCAATGGATAAAGAAACTGAGCAAGGGGGAACAAAGAGAGAATTTATATTTCCATGAATTTAGGGAAATAGCTAGAAAGGCTTCACAAAAGTATCAGTTCAATGACTAATTCTCATTCACAGAATACTCTTCACAGTCAAGGTCACACCATGGACTCTGGGTGCTAAAGCACAGTTGAGTTGGTGCTGTAGATGGAGCGGAGCAAACCAAACCACCCTGAGATGAAAAGACCCTCCCCGCTTTTTAACTCAAGTTTTGGCATAGTAAGCAAAATTTCAGCAGTAGTCTTAGCTGGGCTTTTAATTATGATGGAGTATGTGGGACCATGGAGAAGAAATTACTCTCTCATTCAAGTTGAGAGGGAGGGTTTATTCGGGTCAGCTTTCAGATCCCCAAAGCTGCAGACAGGGATTATAGAGGTCAGTATTTAGCCAAGACAGAGAGAACAATATCTTCATCAAATGAATAAGGCACAGAATAGAAAATCAGACATAGAGAAGGGGGAATGGAGAATAGAAACTACAGTGCAGAGAAGAGAAGAGGAAAGGACAAATGGTGCTGAAGCATGAGATCAATTAACCCCTGGAGAAAAGGATTTCACAAATGGGCACCTAGGGTTAGTTGCAGACTGAAAGGCAGGAAGGATGATACATAAAGAATTTGGCAGTGAGAGATGGAAGAGGAAAGATTATGTGGACATCATACAAGGGACTCAATGGAAGAATGCTGAGCTGGCAAAAAACCAAAATCAATAAACATTTTCAACCAGACGCCACTTCATTTCCTGAAACAATCACAGCTACGACCTTGTGTGTGCAATTCATCAAGTTTTATTACTCTAATTAATCACAAATAGGGAATTGTTTCTATCAAATTCCAAAAGCATTCAACCCAGTCTAGTCCTTTAGTAATCTTTCTTCATAAATAACTTACGGGCAAGCAAACAGAATTTGATAGGTAAAGTGCGGAGCAAAGAAAAAATCCCATTTATCTTAAGAACCCATTCTCACTGTTGGCTTCATTGTTTTCTCAGGTCAACATAGCAGGAAATGGGAGAGGGGATGCAAGAGACACTTGATGCTTCATGAGCCAGTGTACTTTCACCCCTACCGCAGGTCACAAGAAAGGAGGAACAAATGTTGAAGGAGGCTTGAGACCTCAGTGTTTCTCTGAACCATTAACAAAGTTTGGATGGTAGCATTGTTTTCCATCATCAACCAGCAAAAAAGGAGTAGTCATCCAGATTTGTACAGATCACAGCATATGCTACCTCACCTCCAAATTATTAGCAGCTCTAGAAGCATCATGCCAACCAATTTTACCTCCATGGAAGAACTGATATTCCACATATCAAATCCCAGAGATATTTCATGACCCTGATGCTTTCTCCATGAAAATCTACATCCTGCAATGGAGGGGTCGGCATGCCTCACAGGTAAAAGGGGCCAGTGCCAAAAAGGCCTTTGCCCATGAGTAGACTGGAAACAGCTGAAATGGATAGACAGTGACAGCACTGGACAGACATTTGCTTTGCAGTGAAATCATAATGTCAGTATGGTTAGATACACAGAAGCAGTGGTAAGGAAATCTTTGCCCTGCAATGTGCTGGGAATGGGAGGATTGGAGTTAAGGTACAGTGATATGGGGCATATCAAGGGCTGAGTTATCCCAACACACTAGGTAGTCACTTCTCATTGACAAGATAAATAATGCCTCAATTCTGAATCTGGCAGATTCTGTTAGTCCGTTTCCAAGTGAGTTAACTGGGAAGCAATATAAGCATTTCAGGTGAAATACTGTCAGAGATTTTCACTCCATCTCTTACACACTTCTGTGTTTGGAATTCTTTTGATATATATTTATGTACGTAGAAAACTATAAACACAGGCATCTCATACACAAGTCTTTGTGTAAATCAGTGCATGTTTTGCCCATTTATAATAGATGAGAATCTGGCCCACTTATATTTTCTAACATGATTTTGAATGACCAATCAGCACAAGTGGCCACTGAAGAATGTCAACAGCCAATACACAGTACTATTCATTAATCAAAACCTACAATGGTACAATCACTTCTTGCACCGCGTGGAGCTAGAGTGTATATGATGCTAGCCCCACCCCTCTCATCTTATATAATGCTTATACATGTATGGGTTTAAGGGCAAAAACTCCCAGCTCTTTCTTCTTTTGTCTATTTCTCAGCAAGGATTAATTTCTTAGATCATGACACAAGAGAGGATGATGAAGCAAACTCTCCAGAAGTACTGACTAGTAGCCTGGCCAAGCAGGCCCTTGAGGTGGGGGAGGTGGTGGGTATCCAAAGGGAGAGTGTGAAGCTGGGGGATATGGAGGCTGGGATGGAACTGGGAAACTAGGTAGTGGTGGCTGGGTTGGATACGGACACTGTTGTCTTCCTCCTGCTGATGGGAAATATGAAGGCTGTGGAGGCTGGGAGTACCCTACTCCAGATGGAGCTCTGGGTTGGGGTGGAGGGTAACCTGTGGCAGGTGGTGGACCTCTACATGGAGACCAAGGGTAGCCTGTTGCCGAAGACGAACCTCTTGTCTGAGAGTATCCTGATGGTGAACCTCCAGGTGGGGCATGTGGGTATCCAGGAACTGGAGGTGATTTATAAGGAAATGCAGGTTGGGAGTTTGGTTGAGAGGAACTATGGGGTCCCACTATAACTTGTGCTCCAGAGAAAGGAGCAGGCTGGAGAGCTCCTTGGGCTGTAGGGCCTACAGGCATGCATGGAGCTGGACTATATGGCAAAGAAAAGGATGGTGTTCCTGACGGAAAAGGCTGCGGCTGCTGCTCATCAGCAAGCCCAGTAGTTATGTGAGGAGCAGGATGCTGGTGATTAAAATGAGAGTCACTGGCTGGCTCCTGTGAAGCTTCAGACTTCTGCAGCACCTCTTGGAGCTTTTCCACTCTGACCCGTCGCAGGTGGGACAACTTCCTCATGGAGGAAAACTGCTCAAGAAACCGCTCCAGGGAAACTTCACCCTCCAGGAACTTCTCTGCCATAGTCTGGAACACAAGATACCAGATACTAGTGCTGCTCCCTCCAATGTTCTTACCCCAGCTGCAATTCAGACCCCATGTTCTGAGACATGGCCTAGATCACATGGGAAATCATTAAACAACTCCACCATATAGGTGAGACAATCCCAATCTTTAGGATAATGGCTTCAATCTATGCATGACAATCCTCAATATAGGGTGTAGGTTCGGGAGGGTAATTTCAAGTTTTCAGGGAGATTGCCATTAGTTTTATTTTCATTTAGACTTAAATCTTAGAATCACCTCAGATTCCTCTTCGATCTTCTGGCCTTCCACCTGTAGAAGACTTAACAGTGTCCCAGGCTGCATCGTTGCAGAGAATTTCTCTGGGGAGGAAAAATGTGATGACCAAAATCTGACATACAAAAATTAGGCAGAATTATCATGTCTCCCTCTCTCTCGTGACAATACCAGTGTCAAGGCTCTTTGCTCTGGCTCATGACTCCAGCAAAGCATAAAGAAGTAGAAACAACATTACCTTCCTGCCCTTATGGCACCAAGACTCTGCTGAATTCCTCACTTTCATAATGGGAACCTTTACTAGAGGGGTGGGCAATCATCTTTGATGGGGGGAGGTGCCGCTCTGAGAATTTGGTAAGTGGTCATGGGCTGCACTCTTTTGTAATACTAATGAAGGAGCTGTGGGGTTTGGAATGGAGTTAAGTGCAGAAAGGAGCTTGGAGTAAGGAACAGGAGTGCAGAAAGGGGTATGGAATTTGAGAGGGAATTTGGGTGCAGGAGAGTACAGGGTCCAGAAGGGGCTATGGATGCAGGAGAGGATTCTGACCTAGAGAAGGGGTATAGGAGGGGGTGCACGATCTGGGAGGGAGTTGCAACCGAGGACGGGATTTGGGTTGTGACTGGGAGTAGGAAATTGGGGGTGCAAAGTCTGCAAGGGGGTTGTGACCTGAAGGAAGGGTACAGGAGGGGGGGGGTGCAGGGTCTGGGAGGAGATATGGGTGCAGGAGTGGGGATGCAGAGGGTTTGGGTTATGTGGGATAGAGGTACAGGAAGGGGGACAGAGGGTTGGGGAGAGGGAGGATCTGGGGTGCCAGAGGCGGGCAGCAGCCCAGTGAGTTCCTTAGCCAGGATTCCTGCCTTCCATGCTCCTGCACATGCTCAGAGCACCTGCAGGGGCCATATGTGCTGCTCTGAACACTGCAGGCCCAGCGAGGAGGGGTACGTCCCATGCTGCCTGTCCTGCAAACAGGCAGCTTCTATGGGCCTGAAACTGGCCAATGGGAGGTGTAAGATGGTGGTGGAAACAGGGGGAGCATGAGAAACCTCTTCCTCCAGACTTGCAGTATTCACAGAAGCACATGGCTCTACAGCCAGCTTTTATGAGTGGGGACAGGGCACACAGGGAACCTGACTGAAGCTCCCGCAGGCCAGATCTGTTGGTTTGGTGGGCCGAATCCAGCTTTACTGCTTTGGGAAGAGTTATAAAGGGAGAAAATCCAAGGAGAGACCATCATTGTATTCCAGTGTCTTTTGGCCAGGCATCGCCTCTATTCTAACTGAGTCAATCTGAACAGAAAGTAGGAGAAGACTGATTCAGAATGCAGACCTTTGAACAGAAAGGGAGCTCCTCAGTCTGCTGGGCAGTAGAGGGAATGGAAATAAGCTCTGGTTACAGATCACCTGACTGCACTGGGGAGGGTGTGTGGTTTGGGAGACATGTACCCAATTTTGCCTTCTGCTCCTGGCACTGTTTGGCCAGCTTCTGTAGCTTCTGATATCTCTCGGAAAGGTTTGCGCGCCCAGTTTCCAGTGGTGTTTGGAACTCCAGGTTCTGCTCTGCCAGGCTACGGTTTGTTGCCAAGGCCATCTCCTTTTCCAATTGTAGTTCCTGGACCTGAGAGAGGAGACCAAAAGCCACAGACAATGAGGAGCAGCATCTCCTAACTGTAGCCATACACCTTCCACACCTGCAGCATGCACGTTAATATGCACCTCTGTTGATTCTAGTGCCAGACGCTCTATCTCCTCTGAATTCTCCTGTAATTCCTGGAGCTCCTCCATAGATAGATTCTTTAATGTCTCCATCTTCACTGGGGAACGTGAATCCCTAAGGATGAGAAATGTAAATGGACAATTACTAGATTTCACAAAGCCAGCTGCACATTAACAATATATAACAGACTTAACAAGAGGCTTTACTAAATACTGTGAATCAAACATGCTAGGGAGATTCGGTCACACTACAGACAACGGAGAGTCTGAGGACAAAGAAAAAAAGAAAACACAGGCAGTCTAGCCATTTTGATTTTGGCAACTGTCTTTCCATTTCTGGGAGACAAGGTGAGTGAGGTAATATCTTTTACTGGACCAGTTTCTGCTGGCAAGATAAATAAGCTCATAGGCTTGTCACTCTCACCACAGAAACTGATCCAACAAAAGATATTACCAATCTACCTTGTTCCTCTAATATCTTGGAACAAACAGGGTTACAACAGTGCCTTTCCATTTCAAGGACTACAGAGAGAGATGATTCCTCTTCTGTGCCAGGAAAAAGGTGGAGGAAAATGCCTTCTCAGACATACCAAAGAGTGTGATTATATCAATCCATTTCTCAAACAACTTCACTAGATGACCATTTATTTCAGAATTCTGATTAATGTGATCCTCCTTTAAACCAACTGTCTATCTCTGGGTACACTTCTCTGTTCATTTTATGCTAGTCCTTTGCATATCAACTGGCGTAAATGCCTTCTATTCTGGCACTCCTGCCACCTGAAATAGCCTTCCTGTATCTCTCTACCTTGACTCTCCAACACTTCAAATCATATATGGCAGGTTTTCTGCCTATGTCATACATGAATTTCTCTTTCCTTTCTTTTCTTTTTATGAATAAATACTTTCATATTTTTTATGCAATGGGCTTGACTCAACTCTCACACCTTTGTAAATCAGGATAAATTCTACTGAAGTCAGTGGAATAATGCTTTTGCAGCACTCTTT